GGGTCCCCCCCCCCTCCCCCCCTCCCCCCCCCCCCCCCCCCCCCCCCCTCCCCCCCCACACCAAGGAAGGTGATGCGAAACCCGAACCCTACACCTGAAGTTTCTGAAGGTCGGCTGCGGGGGTGCCGCTCAAACAAGGGATGCCCAGTACCCCGGTTCTCTCTTTTTTTACGGGTTAGGGTTAGGTTCCGTCATAGGTTCCCCCATGAGGACAATCCCCTTTATTGCATTCCTTGCGCTCGCTGGGGGACCTAGTAGAGGTCCGACTGCGCCAGCATGACAGGATTCCATCAGAGCATCCGGACAAGTTTGCTGCGGCGACAGATCCCGCCACTCGCCTTGGGGCTGACGAGCTTCGTGTTTTTGCCGGTTTAGGGTTTGGGTTTAGGGTTTAGGGTTAGAATTACCCGTATGCTGCTATAAGTGAGCAGCTTGTACCTGATTTGATTTTGCACGGCATCCCCAGCAAGGACCTTCTTTTGGAGGTCCAGGAAGACTGGTACTTTCAAGGCTTGTGGGTGGCTACAAGTAGGGGTTTAGGGTTTAGGGTTTAGGGCTACAAGTAAGGTGACCATACTTTTAACCTCAAACAAGGTACCTATACCCCACCTGTAAACACCCATGAACCTTCAATAACCTGCGTCCGCTGCATGCCGTTGGCTCCAGCGTACCTGAGAAAATCTCAGCTCGTGATCTTGCTTTCGTGCACTTTCTTGCTGAACCCTTCCAGCCATGCGCGAGCTCGTGCACATTCAGGGAGGACTCAGTGATTCCCAGAGTAGGCCCTTATTCCCCTTTTTTAGGGTTTAGGTTCCCTTGGCATCTGCTTCAAGCCGAGAAGGGGCACCTTTTTATTCCTAGGTTGCTCTTGGGTCCAGTGCCCCAAAGCTGCCGGTGCATGCTGTTGCAACTGTTTTCGGAAATAAACCCTAAATTCTAACCCTAAACCCAAACCCCTTCTCAAACCCCTAAACCCTAAACTCTAAACCTCGGGGCGGACACAGGTTCGCTGGGCACAGGGTGCTCACAGCCATTTACAGCTGCGCCCCTAAGGATAATGCTTTCGTTGTTTTGGAGGGATTTCCAACCGCCCGATCCCACCGGCAACTCCAAACAAGAGAAACGACATTGGGGCTTCCTTGCCTGCCGCAAACCTCCTATGGGCCTAGGTTGCTGGCAGTCAATTTTGCACTTCCCTGCGCAGGACAATGTGGAAACCAAATCGGTGCCAAGTTCTGGGAAGTCATCGCCCCAGAACACGCACGGATGTATGTAGGGTTTAGGATTTAGGGTTTAGGCTTTGCCATTGATTCTGCGCGAGCTTGCCGATGCTCCATGTCTCTACTGTCCGCAGCATTTTTTGGCGCTGCCATCTTTGCCTCGTCGGCGTTAAGGTTTGACACGGTTCTTGGTCGACGTTCAAGGGGCCCATCCCCATGCCCAGCAGGGGTACTGGTAAGATGGTGGGTGCTCGTTCGCGTTCGTGGCGTGGACTTTGGCAGATGTATGGAGATGTCTTCCGGTTTGTTCCTGGTCGGCTTTCATGTCTGTACGCAGCATGAGAGCATCGCTGAGCATTTGAAGTTGAGGTCATCGCCGATGAGCATGGCATTGACCCTACAGGCGGGCCATGAAGGCGTTTTCTCAGTCTCTTCTCGTATCCAAGCCCATCACAAAATCTCCTCGAACCTCGTAGCGGTTGTTTGCGGTTTGCAAGGCCTGGGTGAAGCACTACCCTAAACCCCTAAACCCTAAAGTCAAGACCCTCACGAGTAAAGCCCTAATCCCTAAATGTGGTGGCAATGTTGCTTTGAGTCATCGTGAACCGTAAGACTTGAAAAAGCACGTGGCCCTTCAGCACTTTAACCCTTTTAGCACTGTGGTGTTTTCCCTTTTTTGTTTTTGGTTCTGGGTTTCCCTGGGAAAGTAACCTGAAGAGCAAAAATGGGTGCCATCATTGTGATATGGCTACTGGGCTACGAAGAACCCTTGGGAGCCCACGTTAAAGCCATACTTAAGGTTCTTTTAACTTTAGCCCTACTTTTCCTAGGCATGAGATCCAAGCCCGAGCCCGCAACACTAAACCTTAAAAAGCCCTATTAACCCTAGAAGCCCTATAAACCCTAAAACCCTATACACCCTAAGCCCTAAACCCTAAAACCCTATCCCTAACTAAGCCCTCAGCCCGACCCATGGGCCTTCCGGCAGAGGCACCTCACGGGGACTCTGACCTCCAGCTTGAAAGGACCCCTCTTGCTCCAAGCGGGATCGCATCGGGCTTGAATAGTTCAGGGTTAGGGTTTAGGACTTAGGATGTAGGGTTTAGGGTTTAGGGATTAGGAAGATGTACACGATCAGATGTCCTTTGAGAAAGTGAAAGCAGAAGAGAGGTTAGACTTGAAAGATCTTGAAAGGATCAACGTGTACTTCAATGAGGCGCGCGCCCCCGTTTCCTTGTGAGCCTTGCTCCAGCTGCAAGGGGGGGGGGGGGGCCCTAGGTATGAGTAGAGTTATACAAGGACCCTACTTGGGTCATAAGGATCCTAAATTAGGTTATAAGTCCCTTAACTATACTTAGTATAGAACGGGGGCCCCCTTGTGCGTTTCTGCCTGTAATCCTCTGCGGGTTAGGGTTGTGTGTAGTGCATACCCGCACATACAGACGAGAAGTTCAACACTTGAGAAGGCCTTCCTTGCTTTCAGGAGGGGGTTCATGCTTACCACCTCTGAGCCAGGCTTGTTCAAGCAGTATGCTAGCCACGCACGGGCGTAGATTGCTGCACGCAACCCACACACAGTGTCATGAGAGTAAGGTACATGGACCCTTAGGGTTCCTATACTACTATAATTCCCCAAACCCTAAACCCTAAAGCCGAAACCCTAACCCTAAACCCCCTTATAACCCTCCTTGTTCTTCAATGAGGCGACTGGCGGTCGCTACGTGCCTCGCGCAGTCTTGATGGATCTTGAACCAGTTCAGAGATGTTTGGTCGGTCGGAATTTGTAGGGTTTGGGATTCGGGTTTAGGGTTTAGGGTTTAGGGTTTAGGGCACATCATGTGCTCATGTGTTGCAGTCTTGTTGTACAAGCGTCCAGCATAGGACACCACAGCCACAGCCTGCGATTGATCTAGCCTACATTACTGTGCTCAGCCTCTGTAAGCATTTTTAGCTCACCAGGTTCCCATTTCCTGCGCACATTCTTCCCACACCCCCTGTCACTACCAGGAACCATGGACAGCGTCCGTGCTGGACCTTTCGGCCAGCTTTTCCGTCCTGACAACTTTGTCTTCGGGCAGACGGGAGCTGGGAGCCTCAGATGATCAATACGTACGCTGGGTAAAAAACTTTTAGCGTGTGGTGTTTCGATGCGTTTTTCACACCTAACCGGACCCAACCCTAAACCCTAAACCCTAAACCATCCCCAGCTAAGCTGGAAGCTAAGCCTTGTTTTCTTTGGACTCCTTGGACAACTGAGGAATAACTGGGCCAAAGAGACTTGGACCTGTTGATGTGTGGGGGGTTCCTAAACCCTAAACCCTAAACCCTAAACCCTAAACCCTAAACCGTACGCCCGTTGCCGCCTCGTAATCGCCCTGCGATGTGGATTCGCCCCATCTGTGCAGGAGTGAAAAAAAACCCTAAACCCTAAACCGGGGATTCTCTTCTGTTGGGGTATACAAGGGGTCCCTCTATTTTGGGAAAGACCCGTATGGGTCCTCTTGGTTCCTGTTTGGCATGTGGCATGCGACTGTCAGCAATAACTTTTTCGCCGCGGCGGCTGCATCCTCGAAGCCGAGTACACTTTACACTTTTTGGGATACTATAATCTCTACAAAACTAAAAGTGCACACTTTGGGGGCTCATGACTCAGCAACTAAGAAGCATGCCGTGCGTGCTCAATCTGCCTGGGTCAGGGACACTACACGGAGGGTGCCGAGTTGATCGACAGCGTGCTGGATGTGGTGCGAAAAGAAGCAGAGGGTCGCGACCTTAGTTTCTGCTGAACATTCACCCGCTCGGCGCTCGGTGTGTGTTTGTTGTGTGTCTGTGTGTGTGTGTGTGTGTGTCTGTGAGTTTGTGTGTGTGTGTGTGTCTCTGTGTCTGTGTGTGTGTGTGTGCGTGTGTGTATGGTGTGTGCGTGTGTTGTTGCTTGCAGCTGTGCGAAGCTGAACATCCAGGACCATGACAGTTGCTTGCTGCTTCCCGTCAGCTTAGGCTGCGATTGCTTGCAAGGGTTTCAACTTTGCCACTCGCTTGGCGGAGGCATTGGCCTTAGGTCGTGTCATCCGCAGTTCCAGGGCTTATACTAGTGGTTCTTAGTATAGGGAATGAAGGATTTACCCTATTGACCTTTATATTACCCCAAAAAACCCTTTAAGGGATTATGTGGGGTACCGAATTCCCTCATTCCCTGCTAAGAGCCAGTAGGTTACAAGGATCTTCCAGCTAAGCACTGAGTCATATCTAGAGCGGCGTGGGTTCTATTTCAGCACGAGACTGCTTGAAGGTTCATAGGTGCTAGTATTTGTATAACTGGGATTGTGAGTACCTTTTAAGTAAGGTTACAAGTCATAGTGTAGGCTACATTGCCATCTGACTTCTCCATTGAACCGCATTTTGGGATTGTTCATAAGGCTTCAGAGGCCTTGTGAGCCATGATGGCCAACCTGGTTAGGACTTTTCGGGAATGTGTACATATATATACATATATATCACCACCGTAATTAGAAAGGCTAAGCTTTTGCATTTTTTGTTTGGGCCAAGGAACTCACCAAAACCCGAAACCCTAAACCCTGGAAGGATTCCTTTCGGGGATCATCCGACAAAGTTGGAAAGGACACAAAGAAGATTAGCATGGCCCCTGCGCAAGGATGACGCGCACAAAGTGAGAAGTGTACCAAAAAACCTCAAACCCTAAACCCTAAACCCTAAACCCTAAACCCTAAACCCTAAACCCTAAACCCTAAACGGAAATATGCGTCAGGCACGGGAGCCGGCATGGGCACATTGCTGGTGTCGAAGGTGCGCGAGGCGACCGAACACTTGCAGAGTTCATCGGAGCTTTAGGGTTTAGGGTTTAGGGTTCAGGGTTTAGGGTTTAGGGTTTAGGGGTTAGCAACCGTTAAACACAATTAGACGCTGTGTTTAAAGTCAGCGTATACATGTGTACATACATATATATATGTCTATATATATGTATAGACATATGCGTACAGACATAGTTACATGAGTATATTCATATATATATGGTCCTGGTTGTGTGCCGTGCGAGGGTTTAGGGTTTAGGGTTTAGGGTTTAGGGTTTAGGGTTTAGGGTTTAGGGTTTAGGGTTTAGGGTTTAGGGTTCAGGGTTTAGGGTTTAGGGTTTAGGGTTTAGGCGCGCATGCCTTTTTTCCGTGATCAGGAGTACCCGGACCGCATCATGGAGACCTTCTCCGTCATCCCGAGCCCCAAAGTCTCCGACACGGTCGTGGAGCCTTACAATGCCACCTGGGCTTCGCAATCGGGTGCAGAGAGACTGTTCTTCTGTGTTATATTCAACAAAAACTCATTATGTAATTCGTTCAAAAAAAGGGCCATATGAATCATTTTTACATATTGATTTACATGATTTTATTTAAATGGTATCTGTTGTTTAAACTTTGTTTTTTTTGTGAGACTGTTCTTCTGTGTCATGTTCACCCATGGCGACCTTGCAGAGTTCTATCCGTTCTGCTTTGTAGCACGTGCGCAGGATCCCTAAACCCTAAACCCTGAACCCTGAACCCTAAACCCTAAACCCTAAACCCTCACCCACGTGTCTTCTGGCTGTGGCGTGGACTGCAGGCTGTTTTGAGCTTCCACCAGCTCGTGGAGAACTCCGACGAGTCTTTCTTGTTGGACAATGAGGACCCCCTCGGCCGATCGCAAGGAACCCTAAACCCTAAAACCCTAAAACAACCCTAAACCCTTAACCCTTAAACCCCAACCCTAGACAAGCCCGTAGAAAGAAGTAAGGTAAGTTCTGGTAGAACCCCAGTTCAGGAACTTGAAGCCCCACCTATAACTACACATGAACCTTCAAGCTGTGTGTACACATGTATGGATACACGTGTGTGTGTGTGTGTTCCGAAGCAAATTTCGGTCTTACCGGTACCAGTCAGTGTGTTACTGTGAGATATCCTCTCGTGGAGGGGACGCTACGGCTGTTGGTGCTGTTGCTGTTGTGGTTGTTGTGGTTGTGGTTTGTTGTCGTTGTGGTGGTTGTGGTGGTTGTGGTTGTTGAGGTTGTCGAGGTTGTTGTGGTGGTTGTTGGTTGTGGTTGTTGTGGTTGTGTTTGTTGCTGTTTTGGTGGCTTGCGATGGTTGTGTAGATGTGGTTGTCGAGGTGATTGTGGTTGCTGCGGTTGCTGTTGTTGCTGTCCTGGTTGTGGTTTGTTGTCGTTGTTGTTGGTGCTTGTTGGTGGTGGTGTTGGTGCTGTTGCTGTTGCTACCGTTGCTGTTGCTGGCGCACTCCTTGCTGTGCAGGCGCTCTATGACATCTGCTTCCGAACCCTCAAATTGACGACGCCGACTTACGGCGACCTCAACCACCTGGTTTCTGCGGCAATGAGCGGGGTCACCTGCTGCTTGCGCTTCCCAGGGCAGCTGAACTGCGACCTGCGGAAGATCGCAGTGAACTTGGTGCCATTCCCGCGCCTGCACTTCTTCATGACAGGATTTGCTCCGCTGACGTCCCGTGGCTCTCAGCAGTACCGGGCTCTCACAGTTCCCGAGCTTACTCAGCACCTGGGCCCAATCTGCTTGGACTTTTCTGTTACTGTAACTACTGTACTTATGTGGTCATCTTGCTCTATACTTTTCCAAATCTCACACATTGTTGCCTTCTTGAGTTCTGTATGTGGAGTGAAGACGTGGTCCTCTTGCTCTACCTTTCCAAATTTCACACCTGTTCGCAGGCAGATGTTCGATGCAAAAAACATGATGTGTGCGGCTGATCCTCGCCACGGGCGCTACCTGACGGCAGCAGCCCTCTTCCGTGGCAGGACGCAGCCAGTTGCGTCAAAGCTGTCCTAAGCGCCCCAGGGCATCTACCCTGAAGCCTTATATGTGGCTTTCCGAAAATGGGGGGTGCCCTTTTTGGTTCCTATGAAAATACTATACTATTTTGGGGTATATTAAGGGTACCCACTGTTTTTGGAAATGCCCATATACACCTTGGTCTCTCCACAGCCCATGCTCTCTGCCAGGATGTCCACGAAGGAGGTGGATGAACAGATGCTGAATGTTCAAAACAAGAACTCGTCGTACTTCGTCGAGTGGATCCCGAACAACATCAAGGCGTCCGTCTGCGATGCTTTGCTCATTAGAAGCATCTCTGTTTCCTGCTTGGACGGAGCTGCAACCCTAAGCCCCAAACCCTAAACCCCAAATTCCTAGACATTGAACCCTAAGCCTTGCCCTAAACCAGAAAGAACGATGAACAAGCGGCTAAGGACATCCCACCGAAAGGCCTGAAGATGGCCGTGGCCTTTGCGGGCAACTCCACCGCAATCCAGGAGAGGGACGATTCTGCAGCTCATACATATACATATTTCTGTATACATACATAAGCTGCCCTGCCTGTCAGAGAGAGATATATGCATATGATGCAGCATATCTATCAATATATCATCTATATACGTCGCATGCAAGTTACAAATATAAATGGGTTAGTAAAAAAGGTACATCTATGTGTCTGTACACGTGTCTGCACACAATACATAGCGATATATATATATATATATAGTATATACTTATTATTGTTGTTATCATCATTATAATGATGACTATTTGTCTTTTAATGTTGATTATTACCCATTATTATTACTGTTCTTATTATGTCATTTTTTACCGTATCAGTACTACTATTTTTCTTATTAATGTAAACCTTTTCCAGGAGATGTTCAAGAGGGTCGCCGAGTACTTCACGGCCATGTTCCGGCGCAAGGCTTTCTTGCACTGGTACACGGGTGAGGGCATGGATGCTCGAGCCCTCTTGATATGTTTTTCCTTGTTGGGTTTAGGGTTTAGGGTTCAGGGTTTAGGGTTCAGGGTTTAGGGTTATATGTATATCTTTTGTGAGGGTTCTACGGTCCATCCGAGGATGAGATGGAGTTCACGGAGGCCGAGTCCAACATGAACGACCTCGTGTCGGAGTACCAGCAGTATCAGGATGCGACTGCTGAGGAGGAGGGCGAGTTCGACGAGGAGGAGGGCGAGTATGACGGGTGAGACTCCTGATGGGGAGCTTCCGATAATTCAGCCTGGCCGGACGTGTGAGTTTTTGCAGGCATCGAAGGCGCGAGGTCTTTAGAGGCAGCAACTCAGGCGATGGGGCCGGGCGGATTTAACCTTTTGTGTGCTGCTTCGGGAATATACTGAACGTGGCTGGACTGAGGGTGTTGAGAAGCCTGAGAAGCATGGCAGATGTGCTTCGACAAAGGCTCGCAGATCTGCAGAAGAAAAAAGGCTGTGGTCACCTGTGGAAGCTGTCGGTTTTTTGATCACGCCATGAACGTCAGCAAAACAACTTGCAAGCCAAGGGGCTGTGATGTACAAAGCTTGCAAACGGGAAGCCCTAAATCCTAAGCCGCAGAAATGGGCTTCCATGAAAGAACAAAGCAATGCGAGAGGCTGAGTTCAAGACTCGCTACGGGTCTGTGCAACTGCATTCGCACTCCGACTGGGCCTTGCCCAGTCGCGGATCAGAGAACTAGGTACCCCGATCCTCAATCGTCTTACTACCAAGAGCGAGTATTTCTTCCGGAATTTAATCGAGGAGCCTCAAGCTCAACCAACTATGCCCTCAACAAGTGAGCCCAAGCCCACAAACCTAAAACCCTACCTGAAGGTTCATGGGTAGTGACAAGTAGGGTTCGAGGTACCTTCTTTAACATGGATAGGCTCATATAGGTTAGCTTTTACTTGTAACCCTACTTATAGCCACCCACGAACCCTAATCGGGTTTAGGGTTTAGGGTTCAGGGTTTAGGGTTTAGGGTTTAGGGTTTAGGGTTTAGGGTTTAGGGTTTAGGGTTTAGGGTTTAGGGTTCAGGTTGCAGCTGGCTGCCACCGACCGGAGCCGGTTTCCGAAGCACATGATGCACCTTCTAGCGCCTTGGGCGGCTTGGAGTTCAGGGGGAAGCTAGGGTTGGGCTTAGGGTTTAGGGTTTAGGGTTTAGGGTTTAGGGTTTAGGGTTTAGGGTTTAGGGTTTAGGGTTTAGGGTTTAGGGTTTAGGGTTTAGGGTTTAGGGTTTAGGGTTCTTCGTCTTGTCCCTTCTTGGGTTTAGGAGGATCCCATTCAAAACCCTCAACCCCGAACCCTGCACCCTAAACCCTTATTGGGTTTAGGAGGCTCATATTCAAAGCCCGAAACCCTAAACCCTAAATCCTACACTCACCCTAAACCCTAAACCCTGAACCCTTATTGGGTTTAGCAGGGTCACATTCAGGCATTATATCTTTCACAGGGTTTTAAGGGCCATCCTGGGAAGACAGGCGGCCGAAAATCATCATCCCCCTTATGAAACTCTCTCTGGTTCAGGGTTTAGGGTTTAGGGTTTAGGGATTAGGTTTAACTAGGGACCCGGAGTAGGCCCTTTGTTTCCTTTGTTTAGGGTTGGGGTTCCCTTGTAATCCCCTTAAAACCCGTTACTCCTGGGTCGAGAATCTGTAGCAAGCCAAAATACGCCCGTTCCAATTAGAGTAGAGAGTAGGCTCCTGTCTTCAATTTTGCTTTTGTGTCGGGAGGGGGGAGGGGGTGGTTTGTATGTGCAATCTCCCAAAACAAGGGTACCCTTCACATCGGTCAAAATGTAACCCAAACCCCCCCCCCCCTCCCAAACGTGGTAACACTGTGGAAACCCTCATATGCGTGCGAACTCGACATCTCAACCCCTGCACCACCCTGAGCCTCAACCGTCACGGGAGGACGTCGGGGCTCTAAACCCTAAACCCTAAACCCTATTAGGGTTTATGGTTCGGGCGAGGGCTTAGGGCCCATGGGCTTCAGGAATCTCAGGGCACCAGCACTGGGCGAGCTTCTGGTGCCTTCGTGCGCGAGCACCGCGAGCGAACCGTCCATGGGGATGAGCCCGATAAGCAATCCACCCCAAGCTCGAATCCCCCCCCCTTCCCCCCCGTCACAGTTGTCGGGTTTCAGGGCTCCTCTAAGGGGTCCCGGATTACGCTGGAACATAGCCTGGGCTCAACAACTACGATCTCCTTAAGAACCCCCATAAAATTCAAGATAGTAAATCCCTATATTGCCCTTGTGAGGGACAAAATAATTTCTCTTAGGCAAAAGCATTTAGCGTTTAGGGTTTAGGGCCCGGGTTTAGGGTTTACGGTTTAGGGTTTAGGGTTTGGGATTCTTAAGCAAAGTGGGCACATCAGCCTTTAGGGTTTAGGGATATTACAGACCGCCGAGTCGCCCGTACTCGTAAAGTAAGTGAAACTTGACAAAAGCCTCCTGGAGACCCCTTAGGGTTTAGGGTTCAGGGTTTAGGGTTTAGGGTTTAGGGTTTAGGGTTGTAAACTGAACATCCCTACACTTAAGCCCTCAAGCCTCTAACCCCCTAGCCTAGTGATCTCGTGCGGCTGGTCTGCTTGAGGAGGGCGGCAACAAAGCCCAAACCCAAACCCTAAACTCTAAACCCAAAAGCCTAAACCCTAAACCCTAAACCCTAAACCCTAAATGAAGGAGCTCCATGATTTGCAGACCAAGACTGGGCACCGCGATTGTAATATGATTGCTGGCCGGCCTAGGCTTAAGACCCTTAAAAACCCTCGAAGCCCTGCTGCACAAGCTCGATCCTAGAAGTCCTAGAAACCCTCTGAACCCTAATAAGCCCTAAACCACCATAAGCCCTCAACCCCTAAGCCCTAAACCTAACCCTAAATGCTGTGGAACTTGACCTATGGCCACAAAAGAAACAAAAAACCAATGCCCTGCAAGCCCATCAGGCGCCCTGCCTCAACAAGACGAACCAGCCTGGCTTCTTCTCGGACGTAAGCTCTTTGTTTGCAAGGAAAGGGTGGCCTGCTTGGGGTGTTGGATGTCACCCTTCAGAGCGAATGCATTAGGAGGCTCCCTCTCAACAATCCTGACCTGAATGACGTTGGTGCGCATGTGTGTGCCTGTGAGGATGTCATGTCTTTGCATGTCTGGTCGCATGGTGCCACCCTAAGCTCTAAACCCTAAACCCCAAACCCTAAACCCTAAACCCGTTGAGGTTTCGTGGCGAGCCTCAATACGGAAGCCGCCGAAGAGGCTCGTTGTACACAGGGAAGCTGCTCCGGAATCCTAAACTTTATAAACCCTAACCCTGAACCATAAACCCAGCGAAGCCCTGAGCTATTTGGTAGGCCCTAAACTACTAATTGCTTAAGAACCCCGAAAAAAATCAAACATGTTCTTCCTTACTATATTTTGTATTCTTTTGGTTCTTAAGCAAATAGTAGATGACAAGCCAGTAACTGGCAGCCAGTATGCTCAGAACCTGACACCTTTTTGCTTCCGGCCTCCAGCTTGTCGCCGGGTTGTGGCACACGTAGCCCTAAAGCCTAAATCGTGAGAAGCCCAAAGCCTCAAGTTTAGGGTTTAGGGTTTAGGGTCTGCCGACCCTGAGGGCGTGTTGGGTGGGTTTGCGGAGGTGAATCCTCCCTCTTTCCCTCCTTACCCCCCCAAGGGGGGCGGGGGGGGGGGGGGGGGGGTAGGGTGGGGGTCCCCCGGCAACTTTTGTGTGGAGAACACGCACCTTGCAACTTCTCGGACCATGGGACCCGGGTGAGCATGCTACAGAGCACACCTTGAGGGTGCAGGTAGGTAGGTCGCACACCCAGCTTTCGTCAGCCAATCCTGGGCTCAGGGCTTTGCTAGCTTAAGAGGCTTTAAACAGCTCAATACAGGGGTCAGGATTCTACTGTAGCAACTCCGATAAAACCCTATTCCATGATGCTAATTTTGTAAGGCCCCTATATTTTTCTGCTTTACAGTGGCTTTAGAGCATCATGGTTTCGGTCTGAGGGCTGTGGCTCTGAAAATTTCGGGCCAGGACCTCACAGACCGGATGCGCAAAGGGTGTAGAGCTCCAACCCTAGACCATAAACTGTAAACCCTAAACCCAGGTGGCGAAAAAATATCTTAAACCCTAAGCCCTAAACCCTAAACCCTGAACCCTATAATTGCAGATAGGGCTCGACTGAAGCTCTGCGCAGGTGGTCCACGAGCTGGTGCGCCGTGCGCTGAAGCAGCCGGAGCATGGGTCTTGAAAACGGAAAGGGGTTTCACTTGAAGGTTCATGAGTGTAATGGGGTTTAGGGTTTAGGGTTTAGGGTTTAGCAGGTTATGAGTAAGGCGTAACCTGTAGAACCTGAGTTAAGGAACTTCTAGCCCTACTTCTAACTGCCCATGAACCTCCATGTAGGGTTCGGATTCGCTGGGCGCGCAACATCTTCATTTGAGTATACTTTGATGTCTCATTTTCTCACACAAAAGAACTGCAGCTGCTGCTGCTGCTGCTATTGGTGTTTGTGGGTCCTGGTTCAGATTCAGGGTTTTCCGATTTTGGGCATAGCGGCATGGAGCGTCCGAAAGCACTCTGCTTCAAAAGAACTAAAAAGAACAGCATATCCGAAGCACCTTTCAACCCGGGCCTTGCCCTTAAGTAGCCCAATAGGGTTACAATACTGTTACAATTGGGTTCGAAGCAAACTCTTGCAAAGCAGAAGGGTTCGCCGCACGAGCCTATCCCAAAATGGCCTCCCTGCACTGCGTCTCAGTTCAGCTACAAGGAGGGAGCCTCCCCCCCCCCCGCCAATAGTTATTGGCTTATAAGGATCCTAAATTAGGTTACAAGTCCCTTAACTATGCTTAGTATAGTATGGAGCCCCTCCCTTGTAGGCTGCTAGCGCACACAAGCACGCCCCATGGGTTCCCAAACCCAAGCCCTTTAAACCTGCTTGGTTTAGGCCTCAGGGATTTCTAGGGCTTTTGGGAGGCTTTTGGTATACCACTCTCTTTACAACCCTAAACCCCTATAAACCCCTACAAACCGCTGTAAACCCCTATAAGCCCCTGTAAACCCCTAAACAGGAGATGATGCACTCCTTCCGCTTAGACGCACAACTTCCTGGCCGAACGGTGGGGGACCCCAGTGTGTTGGTGACCCTCTTCAGCTACCCTAAACCCTAAACCCTAAATCCTAAACCCTAAACCCTTTTTTGTTTTTT